TGAGTGTGCTTAGCACATTCTGTTTTGCAATAAGTGTTTCATTGGAAACATATTGATAATAGACCACAGGCTGTTCCAGTCTTTAGTCTAAAAACCCACAGATTTCTGTCAGTACAGCTCATTATTTTTTAAAACTCACTCTGACATCACCTCTTGGAAATGCTTCACATCAGCTTCAAAGTCTCGAAGCCATGATCACGTTACCCTTTACCTCCTATTGTTGTTTTCTGCATATGATGGTTTATCCAACAATGCAGATGACCTGAAGGCCACTTTCTAAGCAATCTGGGCTTCCATTACAGCTTAACTGTGCCACAGGTTGATTGCATCCATGCCACACCATGGATGCAGTAATTCATGCAAAAGGAGCCCTGACCAAGTATTGAATGCATAGAAATGAACATACTGTCAGAAGCCTGACATTTTGGTTTTAAATATCCTGTTTTATTGATCTTAGCTAATATACTAATATTCTAAGACACTAAATTTGGGGTTTTTGTTTTCTGTAAGCCATAGTCATCTATATCACAGGAAATAAATTATTGAAATATTTTACTCTATAGCCCTTTTTTTGCTTGTAGAAAGCCTCAGGCTTTTGAAAAGCCCAGGGCGCGTTTCGATTCAAATTTACCAGGGTAAATTCACTCTCCCGGGGCTTTACTGTCATGGGTAAAACGTCCTGGTCTAGAGTAGGTCTTTCCATATTTCTTCAGGATATTTAAAGGGACAGGGTTGTGTGCAGTGAGGCATTGCACCACCAGCTGCAATAAAGTCCGTTTTAATATGTTTTTAAGAGAGAAAGTTGACCTCAGAGACCAGAGACCACAGTTCCAGGTTTGGATGCAGTGTCCCAAAAGCTCCCAGCGATCCTCTTCACCCTTGTGTCCTTCCATTGCCTTCTCCACTGTCTACACATCTTCTACTTATATATATATATATGCTTATGATTAGACAGTCAAGGTATCAGTTCCCTGTATTTCTGGGCTGATTTGATTTTTTTATTGTAATAAATAAAATTTTTACTAAAATACACTTTCAGTTTGTGCTGTAGATAACTGATATGAGTTTGCCTGGTGATAACAAAAGAAAAATAACTGTGTAATTAGTGTTTAGTAGTTATTGTAGTTATAAAGCAACAGCTATGGCCAGATGGTTGGTAAAAAATTTTATGTAAAATTGTAAAATAATGATTTAAACTTTTCCCATTTATGGATCCAGTGCAACTTAAGGAATAATGGAAGGAATTAATCAACTGTAAAACTCTAAAGTTGCTCTTCATCTACTGTTATTTATAAGGCTGATTTAAAGAAATGGAATTCCTTTTACCCAGCTAAAACAAATCTTCGCCTTTAAATTCCAGGGCTAGATTGATCTGCGTTCTTTTTGGACCTGATAAAAAAGGAATCCTTTGTCATAAAGGAAAACCAGAAAACAATGACAGCAACAGAAGCAAAGCCCAGAATTTCCCTACAAATTATTTCTGAGTGTGTCGGGCTCACAATGTCTTCCAGAAAGCAAGCTGACAAATTGCAGTTTCAAGGGTCAAATATGCAACGCACGTTGGCCACAGTGATTTTCAGAACTATGGCAACATTTTAGTCAAATCAAACCACATGGCTGTGGGTATTCCAATTGTTTCATATTTGCAACACATTTTTCCAGTTCGAGCTGGATTTTGGAGAAGTGCCTCTTGATTTGTTATACAATGCTTTGAGTGCCTTGTTGCTGAAAAGCGCTATATAAATAAACTTGACTTGACTTGACTTGACAATGCACAGTCAGCAGACGAGCCAAACCACAGAGCATGCCCAAAGGCATCTTTCTATTTATTTAGCAGTGTTGAGAGTTGAAGTGCAAGATCCTGTTTCAGAATGACTTAAAAAAAATATTTGTTATAGCGGATAATCTCCTTCTTACAGGCTTGGAAACATGTTGATTTAAATTCACCTCATAGGTTTGCTACTTCAAAATATTTAGTGTGCCTGAAATTAGGTTTTTGACATGGTCAGATTAACCCGTTTGGCGCTACCTCACAGCATTTTGATGCTGACATTAGTTGAGCACAAACTCACCACCACAATCCAGTAATACCACAAGAGTGATTTTATTAACTGGGACAATGGAATCTGTAAGTGTGATACAAACTTCAACAGTAAAGTGAAGCTATAACAGGGGGGTCACTACACAAGAAAGGGCTTTAAATTCACTGTCTGTGGCCATTTTCATTAGCCATAAGAAACATATGAATATTTTTTAATCAAAGTATGTTGCTCTAGCTGCATGTTTGGGGTCCTTCTCCAGCTGAAAGGAGATTCTCTGCCCCAATCTCAAGTTTTCTACAGCCTCTATCAGATTTTCTTCCAGGATTCACCCGTGTTTAGCTCCATCCATCTTCCCATCGACTCTGACCAGCTTCCCTGTCCTTGAAACAAGGCATTCCACAACAATATGCTGCCACCACTACGTTTTATTTTTGGGATATTGTTTTCATGGTGATGTGCAGCATTACTTTTGGCCCCACATAGAAATTTGCATCTTGGCAAAAAAAAATTCAGTTTTAGTCTCATCTAACCAGAGCACATTTCTTCCACATTTGGTGTATTGGCAACATCGGCTTGTGGCAAATCGTCACTGTTGGACCTTGTATCTCAAAAAATGTTACGTGTTAGGAAATGACAAAAGGTCTTTCTTCCAAGTGTAAAATTCATATTGTTTGGTCAAAGTAATATGTTGTTTTTGACACTTTTTAAATGGATATTTATTAATGAAACCACAGACAGATGTGCAGGAGGATCAATAGAGTTGATCTTCTCAAGGAAACAAAAATAAGTAAAAATAGAGATAAAATATTTTTGCTTGACAGCAACTAAAACTGACTTCTTATAGTTTTCTTTTGAACAATGACTTACTTCCTGCCACTCTTCCATAAAGGCCAGGTTTGTCATGTGGATGACTAGTAATTATCCCTTCAATAGATTTTCCCACCTGAGGTTTAAATTTCTGCAGCTCCTCTAGAGTCACCATGGTTCTCTTGGCAGCTATTGCAAGACAAGCTCATTCTTTGGATTCAGCGTTCAATAACCATTATCTTCAGTCTTTAGCACAACCAATAAATCTAAGAGCAGCCTCAGGGTCTCTATAGTGACAGTGAATGGTCTGATGATGGACTACTTTCAGACTATAGCTAATCAATAATTCACGAGTTTGTCTGCAAAGAGTTCTGCTGACCTAATTACACACACTAGAATATCTGCCAGCAACACAGAACACAGAACCGTAGTTCATAAATATGTAGCAGAACACTGAAGGCTACTTTATAATAAATAAATCTATGTGAGCTTAAAACTGAGTCAGACACTAATGGTGATCACTTAAATGTTTCAGCTGCCAGAGCAACTGCAATGAATGGTTTTCAGCTCATTGAATCCTGATTTGCTCAATTCAGTCTTTAACAGGATTCAGCCTAAACTGTTTGATGGACTTTGAGTATTTGACCTGTGATGTTTAGTCTGACTACTGAAGTTTGGCCTGATTCTATGAACCTGCCACTTCATGATCAGCACGAGCAGGGACATCGGTATTATTGACCCCATGAAGAGTTGCACAGTAACTCTGCTTAACAGTGCTGTCCATGGTGGAAATAACCAATGAAAAATACTTCAAACTCATGAGACTTGAATGGTCAAGAGAGCTTGGTATTTCAACAAAATGAAACTTTTTGTTATAAATAAATATTAACTTGCTGGTCACCAATGCACTTGGTCTCTAGTTATGGTGGTCTGTTTATTAAGAACAGAGAAATCTGGGGATACTTCAATAACAGGTTATCACACAAAGCAGGGCAGAAAGGGTGAAAACGAGGAGACTTCTACTTAGGAGGTCTACTTATACAGTATTCATATTCATGTCAGAATATCAATGGTTCAGTCTCCTACCCTTCACATCTTGAACTGTCCTTAAGAAAGAGACTTTAATTTGCATCCGATTCACTCAATAGATGTGTGACTGTGCAAACAAAGCCTTTCACTTAAAGATTGTGGAAGGTAAGATGTATAGCTGTTATGAAACTGGAGTCGATCCATGCCTTCAGCCCACCCAGAATTCAGCCTAGCTCATTTGGAAGCTCTAAGAACTGGTGCATGATGAAATGGCAGTGTACCTGAGGGTGGATGAACATTAAGAGCTAAAGGATTGCAGACTAATAAACAAATAAATAAACAAAGCTTCATCAAATTTGCCATAAGCTCCAACCAGCTTCCTTGTTCTTGCTCAAGAAATGCATCCCTACAGCATGATTCCACCACCACCATTTTTTGTGGTGACGAAGGTGTGTCCAGGGTGATGTGCAGTGTTTGTTTTTCAGGTCTTCCAAAAAATCTAATTTTGGTCTCTTGTTATTTCTTTATAAAATGAGATTTGTGGAGGGTATGGCTAAAAGCTCTCCTTTAAAGGGATTCTCCCACCTGAGCTGTGGATCTCTGCAGCTTCTCCAGAGTAACCATTGGCCTCCTGGCTGCTTTTCTATTGTTCTCTTTGGTAGTACTCTCAGTTTATATGGTTGGCCATGTCTTGGTAGTTTTGTAGTTGTGCAATACTTTTTCTGTTTTCAGTGGTGATGCTTTCCAGACAGATTTTTTTGTAAAGCGCATATCGAGGCTTGTGTTGATGACATGTGTGGTGACGTTCAAGGCCTCGAGAGCTGGCTGTACTACATGACTGATTAAGTAACTTGTTTGCCAGGTTTGCGTGTTATTCGAATTTTAAGGGACAGCACAACGCTTCTGATTTCCAGTCACATTTAGTTGTCTTGGCATCGGATTGCGTGTGCGTTAGCAATCCTTGAGAGGGTCTTTTTTTAGCTTTTGAATCAGCAAGAAAGAGGGAGGATTGGAACGCACAGAAAAATGTTCATCACAACTTGTATAAAATTGCTCTTGCTCACCAGCTTCATCTGTGTCCCGTGAATGTCCCTGGGTATTTTCTAAATCAGACGAAATCACTTCTTGGTGATCTAGAGGTTAAGATTCGGCGCTCTCACCGCCGTGGCGCGGGTTAGATTCCAGTTAGGGATTATAGTTTTATAGGTCTATCTTGGAAAAGAAAGTTTTAACCTCAAAGAGGCTTTAAAAAACTTATAAGCATTATAAGCATAATTAATAAGCACATCACATCACATCACAGACCTCTCCCATATTTGTTTTCACTTTTCCTTTTGATCCAGGTATTGTATCATAAAGACAATAAAGTTAATATTGAGACCATATTTAGAATTTATTGGCATCACAAACACCATTCATTTATTTATTCAATTTAAAGCTTTACACAAGAAATTCATGTCATAACAATGACTCTCCCTGTTTTACTTTTATTGTCCACTTGATGGCACAGTAGAGCAAATGAAGCATGTGGATGCCTCGAGCAATTTGATGGAAAGCCTCAGAGCTTCAAAAGGCTTCGTCTCCCATCACTAGTTGTCAGATTATGGATTGAACAGTGATAAGTGTGTCATGGTTCAGTTGAAGGACTTAATTGCAGAGCAAACATGGATAAAACAGTGTTTTAATGAAAAAGGAAAAAAATAATAAAATTAACAAAAATGGTCATGCTCAAAGAGATAAGAGAAAGAACATAGGAACAGGACTGAAATGGAATAGAGAAACCATGATCATGGCAGGGAATGGAGGCAATGGAAAGAGAAGGGTTTAACTTCTGAGGCAGGGGCGGAGAAAAAAACAGGCAAACCAGAGGAGCTAATCAGAAGAATGAGTAGCAGCTGAGGCAGAGAGAAGGCAGCAATCAGAGGATATGTGGAGCAGGTAAGGCAGAGAGAGGGCGAAGGGAGGGACAAATGCAACTAAAGGGAAAATAAACTAGAATACACATGGAACAAACTAAGGCATAAAGTACAAGAAATGAGAAAGCAACTTCTAACCAATAACACAAAAGTGAACAAAATAAGGCAAGGCCTAGCAAGATATGACCAAAATGAAAACAGAGATGACAGCAAAACATAAACACCAGTGGATCGTGACACAGTTAGATCTTCAAAGCTTTTAACGTTGTTTTTTAAACCTGACTCTGCTTTAGACTGCTCCATACCTTCTGCCTGACGTGTCTGCTGTGTTCCCTGGTTTTCATGACGCTGTTTATTCGCTAATGTTCTAAAACGTCTGAGGCCTTCACAGAATGGATGGATTTATACTGATATTACATCACACACAGCTGGACCCTAATTATGGCAACAGACTTTTATTTAGGGGTATTATATCAAAGGGTAATTTCAAATGCAGACCCCACTTTTCACATTTATATTTAAGTCTATTTAAGAAAATTTAAAAACCATACAAGATTTTCATTTCACTTCATAATTATGCACAAATTTTTGTTAGTTCATCACATAAAGTCTTAATAAAATAAGGAGTAACATTTGTTGGTGTAATGTGAAAAGCTTAAATGCCGCTATAAATACCTGAAAATATCTGTAAATAAATGCAAAAATCTAAGAATCAATTCTCCTTTGCTAAAGGACTAAAGGTAAGGTAAGGTAAGTTTATTTATTTAGCGCTTTTCAGCAACGAGACACTCAAAGCGCTGTACATACAATTACAATACAATCACAAAGCAAATAAACACAGATACAGACACAGAAAAACAAAATCAAATGATAAAATCAAA